CCTCTTCCTCCATGTGTGTACATGTGTGTGAGGACGTGTGTATACAGATATGTGACTATGTGTGTGTACACATGTGTGAGGGCATGTGTGTGAGAATGTGTGTGTATATGTATGTGAGGGTGTGTGTGTGTACAGGAGTGTGTGTGTGTGTGTGTGTACATGTGGAACCCTGAAGTTGGTGTCAGGAATCACCCACCTTTTCATTGAGCTCACTTCATACACTAATCTTGACTCCCTCCTAACCCTGGGGATCCTGTTCTGCTTTATGGCTAATCTTGGTAGCCCACTAACCCTGGGGCTTTCCAAGGCTGGAAGGACAAACAAGCCACCATCTAAGTGAATGCTGGGGATCTGCACAAGTACTTTGAGCCTGCCTGTATCATGTAAGTCAGAGTTTCTCATGGGGAACTCACCAGATCAGCACAACTACCACCACTGAGTGCTAGAGACCCTCCTGGCCCTTCTTTTATTATAAATGTGTGCCTACCCCCAACATTTTATTATAAATGTGTGCCTACCCCAACATTTTATTATAAACGTGTGCCTACCCCCAACATTTTATTATAAACGTGTGCCTACCCCCAACATTTTATTATAAATGTGTGCCTACCCCCAACATTTTATTGGGGAGCCAAATCAGGTCTTCACACTTATGTGACAAACACTTTGCTGACTGAGCTGTCTCCCCAGGACTCAAACTTCTTTCTTATGAGCAGTAGGGGTTTTTGTAGTTGTTAGTAACATTGGGGGTGAGACCATGTTTCTCTGTGGCTTTGGAGCCTGTCCTGGAACTAGCTCTGTAGACCAGGCTGGTCTGGAACTCACAGAGATCCACCTGCCTCTGCCTCCCAAGTGCTGGGATCAAAGGCATGTGCCACCAACGCCCAGCTGTTAGTAACATTTTTTAATTGATATGTAGTAATTGTTGGTGTGCCATTTCAGAGTACAGGGTGTCAGGATCGGATCTGAGTACTGGCATATTGGTTGCCTCAGACTGAGAACATTGTGTATGTGTGTTGGGAACATTCAAAGTCCCCTCTATTTGCAGTTGTGAAATACACAATGGATTGTTGCCAACCATTGTTTCTCTCCTGTGTATAGAACTAGAGGAGGCAATCCTCCCGTCCATCTGAACCTGGACCCATTAACCCTAAGCGGCAGACATTTTCCCTTCAAACGTCTCAGGAATAACAATAAGAGAATGAGTTCTTAGTATAAATATAAGAGGCGGTTCCAGCTTAAGAGAAGCTGAGGGAGTCCTTACCCCCAGGGGTTTTTCCATTACTTACTCTGCTTAGGGTCCTTTAGGGACCCCTCCAAAGCCACAAGACTTCCAGTCAGCCACAGCTGTGTACAGAGGTGAAGGGAGGAGGGAGGAAACCTGAAAGCTAGAGGGCTAGAGGGACAGAGTTGGTTTTTGTTGTGTTTTGTTTTGTTTTTTTGAGACAGGGTCTCATGGAGTCCAGCTGGCCTCTAACTCCCTATGTAGCCAAGGATGACCTTTAACTCCAGGCGGTTGTACCTCCCCACCCAAGTACTGTGATGACAAGTGTGCATCATTCAGTTTGTTTATTTTAAATTTTTTCATTACATTTTAATTTCTCTATATATGTGTGTGCTCACCTGCTCTGCTGTGTGTACCCGTGGGGGTCAGAGGACAATTGGCAGAATCAATTCTCTCCCTCCACCTTATGGATCCTAGGGATGGAACCCAGGAGCCACTGAGCTGTTACCCTCTGAGCCATCTCACCAGCGCCAGCCCTTTTGTGAGAGTCAGAGATTGGAATAGAAGGGAGGGAGAGCAAGGCCTGGGTTAGGATGAGGACCGTGCTGGAAATGGTGGCATGGGGGGGGGGACAGTGTGAGAATGCTTGGTGTGTCATCAGCATGAGGTCCGCAGGTCTTTGAGGCTGAGGCTGGGGGTGGTGGGGATGTGAGGCAGAGAGGGAAGGGGGAGGAGAAGAGGAGGACCAGAGAAGTCCCTAAAGAAGTCCCCACTCCCCCGGGCCTTCTAATCCAGTCTCCCGCCTTGGTTCTCTTCTATCCCAACTTTAGACTTGATGTAAGGCAGAGAGAGCGTCCACTATTGGTGATAAGTCAGCTAGGTAGGAAACGAGGCGACCAGGACCCGGAGAAAAGAGGGTCACATTCATAGCTCAGACGCCACAGGCAAGGGTAGCCTGAAGCCCGCAAGCTCCCGGTGCGAGGCTGGGGACAAAACACCCCAATTTACTTTAGGGACTGGCCCCACAAGGACCCCGCCAGCTGCGTTCGCCCCGCCTCCTGCCACGCCCCCACTCCCAGCCGCCTCGCCATAGGCTGCCCGTCCTGTGCCCGAGCCCCCGGCAGAGTAATTAACGAGGGATTAATGAGATTCCCAAAGTCAACAGAAAAATCGATGGGCCTTGGAGCCCGAGCGGCGGCTGCGCAGTCTCGCGGGGGGGTGGCGGGGAGGAAAGGGCGTCGAGGCATCTGTCCCCGGGCTCCTGGGACCTCACCTGGACGGAAGATACGCGCTGCAATTCAGGCATTGGGGAGCCCGCGTCGATGGCTTCGCAGACCTCAGGTAGGGCTCCCCAGCTCGAGCTGGGACCTCTCCCCATCCCCGAGGGCTCCGGGACAGCTGACTGCTCACACTCACTTCTCCAAAGTGGGGTTCATGAGCCGGGGGCTACAAGGACTGGAAAGAGGGGAGAGTGAGTGGGGCGGCCCGAGGCTGTCTCCCCTGTATCGTGCACCCCAACTCTGGTTCGGCACCCACCTCCTCCTCTCTACTTCACCCTCGGGCTCAACGGTCCTCACAGCCCAAAGAAGGTGCCCAGGCTTGAAAGAATCCAGAAACCTGGATGGATGGTTGCTTAAAAAAATATATGTATAATGTCGGGGCTGCCCAGACCTCTCTTCCTCGGCTCAGAACAAAATCCCGAAGCTTCCGGGCCTGCTCCTCAGCCTCCCTCGGAGCTGGCCCTTCGCTATTGGCCCTGTCGCCCCGAAGGTTCGTCTTCTTTCATCGCCTGCCTCTGAATGAGACCCATAAACCAGTTTGGTGTCTAGGACCTCCCTTGGAATGGCGTCGTGCCGAGAGGTGTGCCAAGGATGGCGGAGTTCTAGCTGGTTTCAAGCGCAGTAGTTCTAGCTCTTTTCCTGGACCCCTTGATATCCACCCTCATACCTTACCTGGCAGTGAACCATACTTGCCCCTTTGATAACCGCTGGTGGAGCACTGAACCACAGACGTGGGAGCAGGGGAAGCCCTCAGAGTGCAAGCCCTTTGAAGGGAGAGGACCTGGAACTTTGTTCTCCAGGGTCTCCACACACTTCCACCCCCATGGCCTGCAGTCTGAGCGAAAACTCCAATCTTTTAGTCCCCCTAGGATCTTGATCTGTAGGGAAGTTCAAATATCTACCAGGCACGGTTCTTCGTGTGTTTTCGTGTAACAAATTATTAAATCCTGACAAAACTCCTAAGGTAGGTATCATGTATTCATTCTTTCATTTATTCATTCAAGAAGTTGTTGAGCTGGCGGTGTCGCTCTGTGGTACTGCACGAGCCTAGCGTGCACAAGGCTCTGGGAGATGGGAAATGAGGGCTAGATAGAGTGCAAACCAGCGAGATTTGTTGAGCACTGGGCATTACCATTCCTTAGTTGCTCGCTCATTTCATGGATAGACACGGACACTGACTACAGAACCTATGCAGCTTGGCCAAGATTACAGAGATGCTAAATGCCATCTGGGCTCTTGATCAGTAGGGAGTGGGGAAGGGAGGGTTGATTGTGGGGCAGATGGGGTGGGGCCACCAGGACTGGCAGTGAGAGAGCAGGGAGGTGTCCTGGGTGAAGGAGATAAAAAGATAACCATCTGGGCCGCCTCCCGGAAAGAGTTAAGGGGCGGGGTCTCTGTCCACAGCTCTGGTGCTGAAATCCCCCTCACGAAACAGCCAGGGTCCAGGGGAAACATTGGCTGGGTTTTAGGACTGCTAGATTTGGAGAGGTAAGTGGAACAGAATCCCATCTCTGGCCTGGAGGAGTTCCAGCTCTGGGTAATGCACACTCATGCTCAGCCGAAGAGTGGCCCAACAAAGTGGCCATGTGCCTTCTTGGGCATGAAGAAGCTGGAGGAGGGTCATGGGGGAGCTGGCAGGCAGAAGAAAAAACACATCAGGAAAGGAAGCCAGGAGACCACACGGAAAACATGGAGACCTCTATTTGGGTTTGAACGGATGTGGGGAGCGGGGCTGTGGCTGGGGCCTGTAACGGGGGTGGGTAGAATTGTCCCTAAGGATGACAGGAAGGACTGGCAAATAACAGAAACTTGTTTATAAAGTCCTGAAAGGGGGGGGTGTCAAAGCTTAGAACTTCACTGCCCAACAGAGAATATCCGAAGTAATCAGTTCTTGGTATTGTTCAGGGTGTGTGCGGGGGGGGGGGGAATAGGGCCCCAGAGAGGCTCTGGTGAGGGCTAGTGTGGTGAGGATCTCCTAGCAGGACCTTGAGGGACAGACAGAAAAGTTCCTTAATGAAGAGAGAGCATGCTGGGCAATGCAATGTGCAAGGGATTCTGGGGGAGGGTGGCAAGAAGGGACCCTCGCCCAGCCTGGATAAGTTCTAAAGGACCAGCTGGAGTCGCCAAAGAGCAAGAAGGTGGGAATCACAGACAAAGGATGAGGCACCCAAAGATAGGGAGGTGAGCTAGAGTGCAGAGCCTTCTGGGAACTCCCATGCGGGAACAGTGGGGGCTGGGGGATGGGTAAAGCAGGCGCAGCAGCAGCCACTCTTCCTTGAGCACTGTGTGCACCAGGCCCTGTCGGTACACACTGCCCCATTTCACCCAGTAGGGCCCCACAAGCCTTGGACTTTACACTGAGGGCAACTGGTTGTCTTTGCAGGACTCTCAGTAGGAGACGATCACTGTGAACAGGAAGGCCAGTCCAGGAGAGAACAGATGGGCTCCAAAGTAGTGGTTAATCTAAGTAGTCAGGCAGGCATAAAGGTATAGGAATGTGCAGGTATGCATAATCCCAGCACGTGGGAGGCAGAGGCAGAAAAATTGAGGGTCCATGGCCATCTTGAGCTCCAGAGCCAGAATATAAAGAAAGTAAGCCAAGAAGAGGGAGGCCAAGAAGGAGAGAAAGAGATAAAAGAAAGGAGGGAGGGTGCAGGCAGGCAGTGTGCGAGCTGGGATGGACGGGCTTGGGGTCTGACCGCATGCATAGTCTGGACCGAAGCAAAGATGGAGTCCAGCTCTCTGCTAAGAGATGTGAATACAAAAACTCGCTAGGGACATGAAAATTAGGAGGGGACAGTATGCACTCGGAGCCCTGAGGCCAGAATGCCTGAATGCAGGAGCTCTCCCAAGAGCCATTGGGGCAGTGGAGTGGGGAGTGCACAAGCATTGCCTTCTCTGCTGCAACTCAGTCCTGCTGGGGAGGAGCAGTGCCCAAAGTGGCCTCGAGGGACAGCACTGCAGATTGGGAGGCCCGAAAGTGGGCCCTAGTCAGTGCTGACAGTGGGTGGCCTGCAAGGAAGCTTCCAACGAGCAGGGAAAGAGTAGTGTCCTCTTGCTTGGGGTGCATTCTTGGGACAGCCGGGAGCAGATGGAAGCTGGAGCAGTCAAAGTGCATGGCATCCATGCTGATCCTTACCCACCCCATACACAGCAGGCTTGACAAATCAATCACAGAGCTTTTCTTCCAAACCGTGATGAGTTTTAAGATACATTTTAGTTATTTTGGTAATTTGTTTTGTTTTTCAAGGCAGCCCTGGCTGTTGTGGAACTCACTCTGTAGACCAGGCTGGCCTTGAACTCAGAGATCCACCCGCCTCTGCCTCCCACGTGCTGGGTTTAAAGGTGTGAGCCGCCACCACCTGGCATTTGTTAAATGTATTTAAGAACAGTGAAGCTAGAGGGAACTCTCTCTCTTCCAGTCCCTTCATCCCTCCCCCAGAAGAAACTATTGTGAACCCAGTGGGTGTCATCTAGACCTTGCCTGTGTCTACATACTCCAGTGTCCCTAATAGAGAATTATTCCAGGCACAGCGTTCTTTCCCAGCAAGCCCAGACTCAACACAACCCTGCAGGCAATCATCCCACCTTCAGGGAGGCAGCCCCGGCCCTCCTGACTTCATTCTCTATGAACTAGCATGTTCACACTGACTTTTGATGATGAGAAGTTCCAGCTCTGAAAAAAAAAATGCCTGGTTACAGGACAGTACTCAAGTGACCCCTGATGCTGGGACAAAGCCATTATTCCACTTCAGGATGAGGCACTGAGTTAAGAAGTAGGATGCCCTGGTCATGGGTGAGGAGGGGAAGGTGGCTCTCGGTATATTCAAAACGACCTTTTATGCTCATGTGCAGCATAAAGGACTATATATATATATATATATATATATATATATATATATATATATGTTGGTGTCTCAACCTTGGGTCCCGTAAGGGATATGGGGCAGCTTGAGTGACTCAGCTAGAAGGGCTCCATAGTATGCTCTCATTGCATAGACATTAGGAGCAGGGATGAACTCCAACCCAGGTCCCCTTGTCAATCAGTCTGTTTACTTCCTCTCCCTCCCCAGCCCCTGCCGAGGTTGCATCCATACCATCCTCAGAAACAGAGACCCCTGAAGCAGCACCTGCCTATGACCAAGTAGACATGGCCACCGAGCCCACAGGGCTCCCGTGTCCTCCGAAGCAGAAGTCCTGGCTAGCGCGGCATCTCTCCCTGATGCTGAGGAGAGACCGTCAGGCGCAGAAGGCCGGGCAGCTCTTCTCAGGGCTCCTGGCCCTCAATGTGGTATTCCTGGGTGGAGCATTCATCTGTAGCATGATCTTCAACAATGTGGCTGTCACTCTGGGTGATGTGTGGATCCTGCTGGCTGCGCTGAAGGTCCTGTCCCTGTTGTGGCTCCTGTACTACACAGTGGGCACCACACGGAAGCCCCACGCAGTGCTGTACCGTGACCCTCATGCAGGACCCATTTGGGTGAGATGTGAGTGCTCAGAGCTGGGAGGGTGGAGAAGGCTGGGGAAGAAGAACCTGTTCAGGAGCAGGTGTCCATGCCTATCATAGACACCTGGCCATCCTCTCCCGGCCAATCCTCTCCCGGCCAGGCTCCCTGGTGCTCTTCGGCAGCTGTACCATCTGCCTGAATGTGTTTCGCATGGGCTACGATGTGAGCCACATTCACTGCAAGTCAGAAGTGGAACTCATCTTTCCGGTCATCGAGATCATCTTCATGAGTGTCCAGGTGATGGATTTCTCACACCCGCATACCTCTGGGGACACATGTACCACCCAACCTATACTAAAAGCCGCCATATAGGTAATGTCTCCATCCCCCAGGGTGTACACACACAGCAATCATAGCCCACCTCCATGTATGCATACCCACATAACATTCCTGTGCACATGCACACCTCCGCACATACCCGTCTCCCAGATGTAGATACCTAAAGACACGTTCATCTGTATGTGCCTGCATGTTCTTGAACCCAGCTCCCAGAGACGCTTGCTTCTACATCTCTGCTGTATTCACGTTACCCTTATTTCCCCCACCCAAGCAGTGGCGACTGAGCCCCTCCCCACAGCCACAGCATACACATGTTTACCTCTGGCTTAAAACCACACAGAAAAAAAGAAATGGCAAAGCTGGGATTGCAGCCCAGGCTTCCTTATGGAGTCTTCCAATACACACACACACACACACACACACACACACACACACACCAGGTGCTCTCACCCTATGCGGCATCACACCATGAGCAACTGGGCTCAAGGACCTGTCTCTTTCAGACGTGGGTACTCTGGAGACACTGCAAAGACTGTGTTCAGGTGCAGACCAACTTCACCAGGTAAGATGCGTCCCCAGCTGCGGTCTCCTGGGGCTCTCTGTTTCCAGCACCCTCTGGTTTTCCCAGACAGGAGGAGCCTGGAGCTGTGAGTTAGTGAGGGATGCATTCCAAGAGACCCCTAAGGGATCCTAAAATCCTACCACCACTCAAGATCTGCTTCTGAGACTGCTGTCACCCCGCCCCCCCCCCAGAGCAGTGAATGCTGAGGTTAGGGCCGTGGGAGCTGTCCAGGCTGTGTGAGCTGCGTGTGTGAGCAGCGTGTGGTCCTTCCTCCAGGTGTGGCCTCATGCTGACCCTGGCCACAAACCTGCTGCTGTGGGTTTTGGCTGTGACCAATGACTCCATGCACCGTGAGATTGAGGCTGAGCTCGACGCCCTCATGGAAAAGTTCTCAGGTACAAAGGGGAGCAGAACTTCCCCCATCACTTTTACATGCAAGCACGCACGTGCACACACACACACACACACACACACACACACACAGTTTGAAGTTGGGAGCACACTCAGAGCCAGATCATTGTTAAACAGAAAAGTGTGACTCCAGCTATAAAGTGCTTGTCACACAAGCACAGGGATCTGAGTTTGCTCCCTAAGCTCCCTAAGCTCACATTAAAAAAGCTAGGCATAGCCGGGCATTGTGGCACACCCCTTCAATCCACACAGTGTTTGGAAGGCAGAGGCAGGCAGATCTCTGTGAGTTCAAAGACAGTCCGGTCTAGTAAGTTCCAAGTCAGCTAGAGCTACACAGTGAGAGCCATAAAAAAAAAAAAAAAAAAAAAAAAAGACCATGCATGGTGCATGGCCTGACAGATCAATCCCTAGGGCTCACCAGCCAGCCGAAGTGGTGAATTGCTGGCTAATGAGAGACTGTCTCAAAAACAAAACAAAACAAAGCAAAATAAAAACAAAATGAAGCAGATATTTCCTAAGGTACTACACCCTCTTGGGTGTCTTCTGGTCTCTATGTGCGTGTGCACACACATGCACGGGTGCGTGCACACATACATGTACATTCAGACACAGTTCATCGTGTCAGTGGCCCCCTTCATACTCCATCAGGGACTGGTACCTCTTGTTCTACTCCCTGTGGCCATGTTGCTGCCAGCAAGCAAGCCACTAATCCTGGCTGAGCTGGCTACCGAGAAGTCTTTCAGGCAAGCACCCACCCATTATATCCGTATTTTCCTTGTATGAAGCTAAAAGGTCTTTGGGGCTGAAAGGAATGCTGCGCTAATCCAATCTGAATATCTAAACATACCAGGAGGGGCAGGAGACTTGTGGGTCATCCCGCCTGGCCAATCCTGAGTCTGTATAGTCTGCCCTTTGAAGCAACATCCCATAAATCCACGTGGGGAGCTTGCACCCTGTGGGATTCAGCCACACCTATGTGTCTGCCCCACCCACAGGTGGCATCCTGACCTGTGTGCCCCAGCTCTCATGCGTTCACACGCCCAAAGCATGAATCATGGCATGTTGTGGCCCACCCCTTACATTCTGTTTGCACTTTGCACAAAAAGTGCAAAGAGGGAGCCTTGATCCAGTGACATCATGGATGTGTGTTTGTATGTCTGCGGCTAGGGGTTGGAACAGAGCCTCATTCATGCTAGGCAAGCACTCTGCCACTGAGCCACACCCATGGCTTCCGTTTATTATTACTGGGCAATTCCAGGGGCTCAATGGCCGATCAGTTTAGCCAAAACACTGAGCTCCAGGGTTGGTGAGAGACCCTGTCTCATAACATTAGGTGGAGAAGGAGTTAAGGAAGACAAATCAACATCAAACATACATATACACACACACGCCCCAAATATACAAGGTAATGAATTACATTTTTTTGAGACAGGTTAGCCAAGCCTAACCCCAAATTCCCAATCCTTCTGCCTCCGCTTCCGAAGTTTTGGGATTATAGGTGTGAGCTACTATTCTAAGTTAAAGTTCTTGTTTGTTTGTTTGTTTGCAGTATAGTGGTTCAAACCCAGGGTTTTATGTTAGACAAAAGATCTATCACGGAGCCACATTCCTAACCCTTGACTTTCTGAACCAGAGTTTAACTATGTAGTCCAGGCTAGCCTTGAACTTGAGATCCTTCTGCCTTGGTCTCCCAAGCTCTGGAATTGCAGGTATATGTCACCACAAATGACACTTTGGTTAACATTCTGTTTTTTTTTTAATAATTTATTTTACTGGGTGGTGGTGGTGGCGGCGGCGGCGCACACCTTTAACCCCAACGCTTGGGGGACAGAGGTAGACGTGAGTTTGAGGGCAGCCTGGACTACAGAGCTAGTTCCAGGACGGCTAGAGCTGTTACACAGAGAAACCCTGTCTCGAAAAATCAAAAAGAAATTATTTTACTCTTAAGTGTGTGTTTGTGTGTGTTGTGTGTGTGTGTATTGTGTGTGTTGTGTGTGTGTGTTGTATGTGTGTGTGTTGTGTGTGTGTGTGTTGTGTGGTGTGTGTGTGTGTGTGTTGTGTGTGCGTGTGTGTTGTGTGTGTATGTGTATGTGTGTGTGTGTGTGTGTGTGTGTACATGAGTGTGGGCGTCTGCAGAGGCAGGACGGCATCAGATCCCAGGAACCTGATGTGCAATGTGCATGCTGAGAACTGAACCTGGGTCCTCTGCAGGGACGGTCCACTGAGTCATCTCTCCAGCCTCTGGTAACGATTCCTTTTTAAAATGGCCTTGAGGCTTTCCAAATGCTTTGCAATGGTGGCATTTAGCTCCATCCCTCTCCCCTGGTCTTCCTAGAACAGGATGCTAGCCTGACTTGGTTTGAGCTCAAGCGTTTTGGCACCCATGTGCCCCAGCGACACCGTGCTCTCCTCCAGAGGAGCTGACTTCTAATTACCCCAGTGTGTTCTGCTGAGGCCAGTCACCGCATTCAGGTGTGGCAGCCCGATTCCTTATTTCAAATGGCAGAATTGCTCTGCCAACCAAGCAACACGTGGAGGTGATGCTTGGAGTCAGGGAGAGCATGTCTGAAATGTGGTTTTTGTTTTTATCAAAGTTTGGCACCTAGAGGCTTGAATCCCTTTGTAAAAGAGTAATCATTTTGTGATCTTCGATCTCTATGCTCCAGCCTCAGCTGTTTCCACATCTGTAAAGCAAACATCTGGCTGGGTCCTGTCCAAATCCAGTGTGCTCCAGGAGATGGGTGAGAGTGACTAGTGGCACGAGGCTTCTCAGTGCAGGACCTGCCTGCCTGAGACGCTGTCTCCTCCTGCCCTGCCCCCTCTCAGGTAACGACACCAACACTTGCATGTGCCTCAACGCCACAGTGTGCGAGGTCTTCCGGAAGGGCTACTTGATGCTCTACCCCTTCAGCACTGAGTACTGCCTCATCTGCTGTGCGGTGCTCTTCGTCATGTGGAAGAACGTGGGCCGCCATCTGACCAGCCACTCGGGTGCCCATCCCAACAGACCACCCTTCCGCCTGCATGGGGCCATCTTTGGTCCACTGCTGGGCGTTTTGGCACTGGTGGCTGGTGTGTGCGTCTTTGTGCTCTTCCAGATCGAGGCAAGTGGCCCTGACATAGCCCGCCAGTACTTCACTCTCTACTACGCATTCTACGTGGTTGTGCTGCCCGCCATGAGCCTGGCGTGCCTGGCAGGCACGGCCATGCATGGGCTGGAGGAGCGAGAACTGGACACACTCAAGAACCCCACCCGAAGCCTGGATGTGGTGCTGTTGATGGGCGCCGCACTGGGCCAGATGGGCATTGCCTACTTCTCCATCGTGGCTATCGTGGCCACCCAGCCACATGAGCTGCTCAACCAGCTCATCCTGGCCTACTCACTGCTGCTTATCCTGCAGCATATCACCCAGAACCTCTTCATCATCGAGGGCCTGCACCGCCGCCCCCTCTGGGAGCCTGTGCTCCCAGATGCGATGGGGAAGCAGGATGCTGAGCTGCCCAGAAGAGGCTCCCTGCGGGAGCTGGGCCAGGACCTACGGAGAGCCTCGAGGGCCTACATCCACTCCTATAGCCACCTCAACTGGAAACGAAGGATGCTGAAGGAGATTTCCCTCTTCCTCATCCTCTGTAACATCACGGTGAGTGTCTGGGCAGAAACTCCTGGGTGTGGGGGTGCTGTGGGGACCCAGAGCCTCTTTCGTAGGAAGCCACTCGCCTCTAGCTAGCTTGATGGTGCTTGAGAGCCAGGAGTATCTTGAGCAGCTCCCTGCAAGCTGCCTGGCAAGAATTGATATAATCAGCCATAGCACAGCCCCCTTTACAAACGTGTGCAGCTCTGAGCCCCAGAAGCTTCCAGTCTTGATGGGGGAGGTGCCAGTGAGCCTGTTAGAAAAATGACCACTGAACTCAAACGTCCATTGAATTTGGCCAAAAGATCAGCCCAGAACCACTTGTTTTCTATTAATCCCTAGAACTGGAGGTTGGCATTGGTCTCTTAGCATCTGTTGGCTGCTAAGTAGCAGGCCCAAAGGTCCATGCACTATCTCCACACCTCCTTTAATCACCACTGTGCCTCCAAATGACGGGCAGTGTTACTGTCCATCCCCCACCCCCTGGACAAACTAAAGCATATGTTGTCTGATCAGTCCCAGCTCTCACCACCTGTAAGTGGCAGATATGGGACAACTCAGGGTTGTTTAGCTGGGAACCTCTAAAAGCACTGAAAACACAGCCCAGATGTGAAACAGCTGCTCTATGCAGAGAAGTGATAAATTGGCTTTAAACCGTGTCAGGAGTTCAGAGACGGAAGAAGCACGTATCCCAAGAGCCAACATGTGTTTCTGGAAGGCTGATAAGGCTCGTCTAGGCTTTGGCAAATGGGTAGAATTCTCACGGGAGAGCGGGAAGAGATGCAGGTGGCAGTAACTTGCAGAAATAGCAAAGCCTGAGCTCAGGGCTTACAGCACAAACGGCACAACTCATCCATATAGATTGCCAAATGCTACATATAAGACAGCCAGCTCTCGGGGCTTAGTCTAGCCTCAGGTAAGCCATGCCCAAGACTTTGTGTGTTCGGGGTGAGAAGGGCCCCAGGGCTGAGGACCTTGCCCTGAAAGCCCCAGGATGAGCGAGTGGGAACTAAGTGCAGCTTCTAGCTCAGCATTTTAAGGTTTGGGAGAGCCCCTCCCTCACCTAGAAGCCTCCCCTCTCTCCCCAGCTGTGGATGATGCCTGCATTCGGCATACACCCTGAGTTTGAGAATGGGCTGGAAAAGGAATTTTACGGCTACAGGACCTGGTTCACCATTGTCAACTTCGGCCTGCCTCTGGGGGTCTTCTATCGCATGCACTCTGTTGGGGGACTGGTAGAAGTCTACCTGGGAGCCTGAGTGCCCAATGAAACCAACCACAGCAGGAACCCAAAGCGCTAAGGCAGACAGGAAGCATGGCCTATCCGGGCAGACACATCACATTACAGACACCTGCTTGCGGCTCCCAAAGTGACCTCTCCTCATCCTGACTGAGGGGGAAGGTCCTGCCAGGAGTTCAAAACCAAGGGCGGGCCTTGGACGTGGAGTCTGAGCATAAGCCTGGCCAGAGCCTCTTCACAATAGTTCATGTAGTTATGGATGTACCCAGGTGACTGGAAAAGGCTACTATCTGTGAGGGTCAGTATTACATCATGGAGTCTGGGGGTTGGAAAGGGGCTGATTACCCCAGAGGAAGGGACTCCTGGATGTCCTGGGGAACTCCTACAGGGAGCTCAGAGCCCAACACGGCAGCCCCGCCCCCTCCCCACACACCCCACCTCCTAATGAGCTCATTAATTAGCTGCCAGGCAGGGTTCAACAGCTTCTTTCCTGCTTCCATAAACCCTGTTTGTTTGATCGATTCCATTCAGCCTTTGTGGCATTTTTGTTCCTGGGGACAGAGCTACCACTCCAGGTGTGGTAAGAAGAATGATCCTCTCAAGCAAGACAGTCCCGTTCCTCTGCCAGGAGTGGTCCATTCCAGAGAATCTCTGTCTGGTCCACGGACAGAGGCAGGGAGAGAGGAGTCGAGGCTTGTACAGCCCTGACCTCCACCCTTTGCTAGCACCATCTTTGGGAACAGAGCCTCAGGGACATTTTTGCAACTGGCTCACTATGGGTGGTCACTGTGGCCTCTGCCTGCCCAGTGCCCAGGCCTGCCTGGTCCTCTGAACCAGTGGGTGGCGCAGGAAGGTGAGTAAGCAGACAACACCAGCAACCCATCCATCTCTGAGCCCAGAACAAATATGTTCAGGGCAAGGCCCGAAGAGTGTGGCCCTGGCCCGGCAGCCAAGGTTCTGCCCTTCCTGAAATCCCCCTACTCCCATGAAGCCACTCACTGCCAAGCCCGGGGATGATGGCCCAGACCCCGCAACACTTGGCCTTAGGCCATGCCAAAAAAAAAAAAAAAAAAAACTTAGTCAGGCCTTTGGCCTTTCCTGTGTAGCCACAGCCAAACTCTGGGTGGCGAAGTTCAATCCTGCAGTGCTACACCCTTTTCTGCCAAATGACAGATAATGTCTCAGTCATATGGCAAGAGCCCTCTGGGAATGAACTTGGGGGTACGGAGTCCCCAGATGCCCTGAAATAAGAGCCCCAGGCAGGCTCCTCCCCCGACAACAGGCATGGAGGTACAACACAGAGCAGGACATTTTATTGTGTAAAGTGGCCGATTGTACAGAGCAGAGATTGTACTGACACAGGTAGGTGGGTGAGGAGACCCAGAGGCCAGGGCCAGGGCTAGTAGCGTGTGACACCCCCCACCCCAGGCAGGGCAGGGACACTGACATCCTTCAGACCCCACCAGCCAGGCCAAAGGACAGTAACAGGGGACCCTGACACCCCACTCACCAGTCTTGCTTTATAAGCTGCCAGCCCCCAGCCTCCTTGGCCAGCAGCTCAGCCACTCTTCCCCCCCCCCCCAGGGCTCTGGCCAGGAGAGGGCCTGAGGCTAGGGAGCCAGGACTTTCTTCACTGTGACCCGGTGCCCCAAGGGGAAAACCTATCAGGGCACAGTGAGCTTGCAGCTTCCAGGAGCAGGGCAATACAAGGGCAGCTCTTGAAGGAGGAGCCAGCGTGGGCAAGGGCTCTGGTGGGACTCGCGTCTCTGGAGACAACAGGCTCCGAGAACAGCCTAGAGGGCAGGGGGTACGTCTTCTTTCTCCCTGTTGTCCCCAGCCACAGCGGGCACCTGGGACCCGCCATCCAGGCCCAACCACTCTCCTCGCCCCACGCCCTGATGTAGGTCCTTTAAAGCTTGGAACAATGGGTTAGGGAGCACTGGGTCTAGGACCAGCCTTCCTGGCCCTACTGTCTTCCGGTCCCCATCCTCACACCCGCTGGATCTCAAACAACTTCACATCCGTGTCGTACCAGATGGGTGGGTCCACATTCCTATAGAGAGAGCGGGCTGTCACCTTCTAGAAGGGAGCGCCTTGAAGCAAAGGAGCTAGGTAGCTACAAGGTCCCCACCCATCCCGGTGCCCCCACTCTGGGCGATGAGTGCCCATCCTCAAACAGATTGGTTGGCATTGGCCCCACTGTGGAGGAACCCAGAGCTATATCCCGGGTGGGCAGTCCTCATGTAGACCCGTACCCACCCTGGGATGTAACTTCCCTGCCCCTCACAGGGCCTACCTCAAATAGATGACACCCCACATGTAGGTGCGAAACCACATGGCGGTGCCTGAGTTTGCCTGGTACTTTCGGATAAGGATCGGGTGGGGCACAGGCAGGAGTCCCACTAGGGTGCCATGCTGCAGGAACCTCAGGATCTCAGATTCATCCGTCAGGCCCCTAGAGGAAAAGGCGGGGCCTCCAGAATGCTCAGAACCCCGAGGGGTGTGCTCCCCGTCACTCACACCCACCCCAAGCCTGGGCTGGCCCCTCTCCAGGGCCACCTACCCACCGAGCTTCCAGACTCACTTGTCAATGCAGATCTTCTCTACCTGGGGGACCAGCACCTGCAGCAGGCGCATGATGGTCTGCAGTGGCAACTTGGACTTCCAGGACAAGATCTGTGAGAGCCACACCCAGAGCTCTGGGACAGGCTTGACCATGACCCAGAGCCACAGCCCCCCAGGACACTGTGCTCAGCATGGCCTGCGTCTAGCAGGGCCTGTGAAGGGGAATCGGTGCTAATGGGAAGAGCCCAGGCTGCGCTGAGCAGCGCCACAGGCCAGCTGCCGCGCCTCGTGCCTTCCGGAAGACTGTCCCCTATAATCCTCACAATGGCTGGATGGCACGATCTTAAGGGTGTTTATTACCCCCTTCCAGAGCAATCAGTGGGGCTCCCAGGAAACACACAGGGAGTGGGAGCCATTTGGGGAGGAACACACAGGGGTGATTGACAAAGGAATTGGTCATCTGCAGAAAGGTCAAGCGGAGGCAAGGCCGTGCAACTGGAAGGGCTGTCCCTCGGCCTGGCTTCTAGGCCAAAGGTCTTTGGTCTTCTAACCCCATCCAGAGCTGGAGCACTGACAGACCCTGCTCTACGCCATCCACCCAAACCCCAGCTCCCGGCTCCCTCACCCAATCTGACGTTGGGCTCCACTGGCCACTGGCTGATGTACTGGACAACCGCCGTTGCTCTCTCCATGTTTGACTGGGCTCCTGGCTCCCAGAAAGGAATGGAAGTGACCGGGGAAGGAATGGGTACAGGGTGCAGCCACAGAGCAACAACGTGTCTCCTCTGACCCCATCACAGGGCTACAGGGAGGTTGGCGGCACCCAAGAGGTGGGTCCAGGCCTGTACCCTTTGCCCTGGGCCCAAGGCCTGGCCCAACCCAGCCCAACCCAGCCCAGCTCAGTGACAGGTTTAGGGCCAGGGGCTGACAGAGAAGGCAGGGTAAAGGCCGGACTCAGATAAGGTTGGTGGATGAGGAACCTGAAGGTCCCAGGCTTTGCCAGGGAGACGTCTGTAATTGCCCCCCCCCCTCGCTCAGCAATGCCAGCCCTGATTCCCTTGTTCTATGCAGCAGCCTCAGCATGTCCTGGGCTTGCCCATTCCTACACTTCAGGGTTCAGAGAGAAAGGCAATAAGTTTTGATGCTCAGCACCACCCTCCAGGCATCCCAGTACCTACCCGTTCAGACGGGCTGCCTTCCCCTGAACTTGGCTGGGATTCAGGCTCTAGGGATCGCAAAGTACCATCTTCCGATACCTGGGATTTCTCTGTCAGCTTGTCAATGCCTGGGTGAGACACAGGAGGGAGGGAGAGGGGCATGCCACGGTACCCCTCCCGGCTCCAGAGGTGCTGTGTCCGCCCTTCCCTTCCCAGAGCCACTGTCAGCTCTGAGCCCTGTCCATGTCTGTCCCCTGACCCCTGCCGAGCTCCTTTCTAGGCCCACCCAATACTTCCACCCCACATGCCACTGAATTCCTCTTCCCCGGCTTTCTAGACAGGAACGACACCATGGAGATCACACCCAGTGCCATCTCCAACCAAGTCCCATACTCTCCCAGCCTGACAGCATCCACACCTGGAGTGGCCACCAGGCTGGTCTTAAGGGTGCCTGGTTCTGCCGGGGCAGCAGGGCGGGAGCCCTCCATGGAAGCACCCTCCTGGGAACCAGCGCGGGACAGGGGCTCCGGCGTCTTCCGCCGCCGCTGGAGCGCCTTGTGGATGGAGGGTGGATCAGTGGGCAGGTTGGCCAGCTGGTGGAAGACTCCACGTTTACGGATGATAGCGTAGACCAGGTTGGAGTTGCCTGTGGGAGGAACATGTCTACCCTCACATCGCTTCCCACTCTGCGTCTGAGATGGCTTCCAGTACTAGAGGGCAAGTTGTGAGACAGAACCCTTTCATCCCCCAGGGGTAAAAACTGGTACAGGGTGCCCAGAGCAAGATGGGTGCAGCGGCATGGATGTCAGTGGCCACAGCAGATAGGAGAGATACCAAAAAGCTATGTTGTTTGGGTGTCCAGATGTTAGGCTATGGGAAACAGCTGCGCCCTGAGCTCCCCCAGTACCCGTCCTCTGGTATCTTGAAATCTCCTTGCAGCCCGGCACTAAGTGGGTGTCATCTGGCATGGTGGGACAACCTGAGCCCTCTTCTCTCCACACCCACCCTCTCAGTGACACACAGAGACATCTGGGACACTGTTGTATGTGCCTATCCTCCATCATCTACCGCTCTAGTCCTGGCTTGCACCATCCTGCTTTTAGCTTAACGTCTGCCCAGGGCCTTTGCACATCCCCTTCCCACGAAATGCTTTTATGCCCACCTTACTCTCATTCATCACTCAATCATACATCTAAATTTTACTTATTTTGGAAATAGTAACAATAGTTGTGTGTAGTGCTTTTACTGTGAGTTACTAACCCCCCTTAATCTCTAAGAAAGGGCCTTTTGTTGTTTGTTCTTGTTTTATTTTTGGAGACAGGGCTT